TCTCAATCTCTGTAAAGTGAAACAGAACATGGACCCCAAAACCCGAAACCCTACCCGGAAACCCTGAACCCTAAATCAAACCATAATACTTTAGGCGCCTTAATAATTAGAATAGGGTTTTGGGGCCCACTATACTAGATTTATCATCAGGAACCCCCAAAGTAGTATTGGTAACTTTTAAGCCCCTTTTGCACATGATCAGTCGGCCTCCCCCGAGTCCGAGATGAGGCATCGCAGGCCCACGCCCAGTTGGAACTGCGCTTCTTCCTGAACCTCTTCTGGACAAGTGCTTACAGGGTTCGGGCTTGTTTGGCGTTCTAGGGCTTTGGGAAAGGATTTTGCTCGGGTTGCAAACGGGTTTATAGGGTTCTTGTCAAGGAGCGTAGTTATTACACTGGCATGGTAAGGAACCCGATTATTCTAGCACAAATTCTGGGGTTCAGAGTAGAGGAATCCAAAAACTCCAACCCCCGAAAAATGATACTTAACCGTACACCCAAGCGGCAAACCCAGAACTCCCGCACTCTGCCCTGAAAGCTTCGCAGGTGTAGGTCGGGGATGGATTGTGGCATACCACTAGGTCTTCTATAACCCTAAACCCGAAACCCTAAACCTAAACCCCAAAGCTCTCAACCCCCAAAGCATTCTGAAACCGCAGAAAAAAGCTATAGCCCTAGGACAAGTGTTTAGCAGCCCTAGGCAGAAAAATCCTGAACCGTCAAGCCCTAAAAGCCCTAAACCCTTAAAGCCCTAAAACCAACCTTAAAGCCCTAAGCCCTAAGCCCCTGAAGCCTCATGGACCAGGGAGGTCGGGAGGGCATCCACGTTGGCCGTTCGCCCGCTCAGCAGCACCACGGATACCGAGATCGACATCAGGGCTTTGGGGCTTCAGTGCTATGCGGGTTTCGGGCTTAAGGGTTGTTTAGGGTTCAGGGCTTCGGGCCTTAAGGGTCGTTAATTAGTGGCTCAAGACTTCAAGGGCTTGGGCTTCAGGATGTTGGGCTTAGCTGCCTCCAGGTAAAAAGATTCACGAACAAGGGCTCCTAAACCCTATGGTCGGGGCTGCAGGTGGATGCAGAGCTCAACCGGCTCACAGTTCCGGGGGTGTGGGCCGCGAGGGGCTGAGGGGCTTTGGGGCTCAAGGGGTTAAGGGAACAGGGAACTGAGAGCCTCTGCAATGACTCAAACTCTGACCTCACATCTTCTGACAACAGTTAATGTATGTATATACATACATATATATTTACACACACATTTCTGTATGTGTATATATATGTATCTATATTAACACATCTACAGATGTGTAAGAATGAAACAGGTATATACTATATACATGCCAGTGCATATGTGTACGCATGTACAGTGTGTACATGCCTATATCTGTCTTGCATATATACACGCATACACATATGTGTGCATGTGTATATGCATATATCGCAAACAACGAAATACGTGCATGTATGCCTGGGTATATATATATACATATATGCTATGTATGTAGGTACGTAGGTAGGTATGTAGGTATGTAGGTATGTATGCATGTATATATATATATATATACATATACATATATACATATATACATATATACATATATACAGATATACATATATACATACATACATATATACTATATACATATACACATATAATACATATATATACATATATACATATATACATATATACATATATACATATATACACATATACATATACGTATACGTATACGTATACGTATACGTATACATATACATATACACATACATATACATATACATATACATATACATATGCATATGCATATGCATATGCATATGCATATACATATACATATACATATACATATACATATACATATACATATATCGCAAACAACGAAATACGTGCATGTATGCCTGGGTATATATACATATATGCTATGTATGTAGGTACGTAGGTAGGTATGTATGTATGCATGTGTGTGTATGTATATATACATATATATATATACAACAAAAATCATATACACATATACATATACATATGCATATACATATATGTACACACTATATGATTCTGATACGTTGTGGGCTCGGGACTCCTAGGCTGAAGGTTGGGGCGGCATAAGGGTTTCCGTTGGGGGTGTAGGGCTTGCTCACATGGAACCCTGTATAGCGGAGCTCCCGGGGACAGCAGTCGACAATGGCCTTCCTCAGCATTGAGAAGCCGAAAGTCCCTAAACCCTAAACCCTAAACCCTAAACCCCCCCCCCTTCCCCCCCCCTCCCCCCGCTCCCCGAGCCAACAAACACAAAGCCTCGTAGTAGAAGACGGAGAAGTTCAAAGCTAGACCCAGCCGAATGGGATGGGTTGGCCTGGGACACGAAAGCTTTGTTGCTTTCGAAGACACGTGGATTCTTCCTGTGCGGTTCGACTGCTGACTTGAGGCATAAGTGAAGGTTTGGGGGTTTTGGGTGTAGAATCGTAGAACTTGCAGGGTTTAGGGATTTAGGGTTTTGCAGTCTTGCCCAGTCGAGCCTTTTTCTCGTGGGGTCGGCGCATGCGCTGTCAATGGACAATGCACAGGCAGCCCTTGTTCGGCAAAGTCTGAAGCTGTCGGCCCGCTGTTCGACCAGACTGGACAATGCTGAACTGTACTATGCAGCACTATTATAATCCTGTATCTTGCTACACCAGAATATAATTAATCTACTATACTTGACTAGGCTGCATTATCATGCTACACTATACGACAATATACTGTCAGCCTCTTCACAGCACGATTCATTCTCAGAATCCTTGAAGCAAAACCCCTTGCGCAGCCTCGTCCTGTCATGATAAAGCCTAGCCTAAGCCCCGAACCAAAAGCAGAGGATGTGGCACGAAAGGGCAACGTCATCACTCAAGTGCCTTCTCAAGGGCCTCTGAGTTTTTGCAACTCCCAAGCTCCTCAAGCCGTAGAAGCCAAAACTATGTAGGCCATGAGCCCTGAAGACACACGCCGTCACAAGAAGAGATTCCCTGAAACCCTGCATCCTGAAACACTTCACTGAGTAGCGGTAGCTTCTATATATCGAGCCCCCAAAGACGAAATCTCCAAAAAGACAGCACCGAAAGATCCGGGCGGAAGTGTGGCAGTCGCAACTTCCTTGGTGTCGAGGGGATGCGGGCGTCTGGGGTTTGGGGATTCCTGAAATCGTTTACTCTAGGGGCCATAAATCACTCGAATGATGTTTTGAGGTTCCTTACTATAACTATAGTAAAGTATCCCCCAAAACCCCATTCTAATTAAGGCCTCTACAGTAGGGCGCGCCTTCCGAAAACTTAGTTCAAAGCTTCGGGCTCTGGGCTTTCGGGGCAGCAGCAACTTCCAGATTCCAACCGGGGCTGACGTGTTCCGGGTGATGGCTCCGAAGGTATGGATGTACAACAGGGGCCTTAGTGGTTAGAATAGGGTTGTGGGGTTAATAGTTAGAATAGGGTTTTGGAGAATACTACACTGTGCCGACTGGAACAGAATAACTGGAACATGATTCCGACACCTATATTGCCATTGCGGCTTATTGTTGAGGCTTTACGGTTAGTTGTAAGTCATCAGCATCATCACCATCGCCATCACCACCACCACCATCATCATTCTACTACCACTGTTGCTGCCGTGATGGTTACTGCTACCGTTGCTGTGGGCCTTTGCCATTCCGCTGCTGTCACGTCACAGGAAGAGCGTCTGGGAGTCGCGATGTGTCGGAAAAGAGCCCATGGAGTGAGTAGAATGGAGGTTTGATTAAGTAGCCGTGGGATCCCATTATAGTCCCAGGCTATTGACAACAGAACGAAACCCGAACAATGATGTTAAACAATACCCGAACAACAATCTTTCAGACTCCAAAAGGTGATGCAAGGCAAAATTGTCTGCTTGTCGAAGCTCATTGGCCGCCACGTAGGAGTCGTGCGCTGCATTTGCGAATGAGCCTGTGACACCGACCCCAAACCCTAAACCCTAAACCGATCTGGGCATGGGTATTGACAAGTCTAAGCTTACGTGCAAGGTTGAGGCTTGGAAGTAAGTGTTTCTCTTCGAACCTTTCCTGCAGCACATCCCTGCAATTGGTCGCATCTCAAGCCCGAAAACAGCACGATTCCCACATCATCATCATCATCATCATCATCATCATCATCACGCTTGGGCTTCTAACAGCGAGAACAAAAGGTGGGAACTATGAACGGCACCATGCCATAGTGCCATAGTGACTATGTACAGTCACCAGCTCGTATTAAGTGGCCTTTGCTTTCGCGATGTAAGTAGGGTGTTTTATCGCTAGTATCCCAATAACAACAGCCTTGATGTACATTCACCAATATTTCTTACGAGCCCTGTGCTCACTGTTCCAACACCTAAAACCAATCGCATCGACTAGAACCCGAAGAACGGGCCACCAGAGAAAAACAACTTGACAAACACAATGACACGTAGGATAACCCCTCGTAAACCGTACATACCCCTGGAAGTACATGACTAAATTACATATTTGGTGTTGGTTTACATTACAATTATATATATATATACACGCTCACACATATACACTTATACACATATTACTCTGCTAGTTTATATTGTAGGCATCGTGTACATTTTCTTTAACCGCAAACTTATGGCGTGGGAACCTCAAAGTACACAGGGACATAAGTTGGAATCACTATATACTTGTTTGTAGTGCTCTTGGACTTACGGTTTAGGGCTTGGGCCTCAGGGCTTGCGGGTTGGGTTACCCTACACCCGGCATCCCAGATATCGGGACCCCTGGAGCCCCGATCCCCACTGTGGGCTACGGGATTCAGTATCCCCTAAACCCCAAACCCCAAACCCCAAACCCTAAACCCTAAAACCCCTACACTCCTAAACCCTAGACCTTACCCTAAAAGCCCTTCCAGCCTCGCTGGGGGCCGTCCGTGAACTCAGCCAGGTAACCTGAGAGGTTGAGGGGTTCACGTCTGGTACTGCCCCCATACAGTAACAGTCTATAATAGGGCTACTATTAAGGTCCTAATATATCTATATTATGAATATTATCCAACTGTTGCTGAGTGGGGGCAGCACCCAAGGTTCAGGATGGACTGTGCTGACAAAGAAACTTGAAGACTTCGGCAAGGGTTTTGCAGGGAACCCTGGGACATCGGTCGGTCGCTCAAGCATCATGCACCCATTGCTGCCGCTTCGTGTATCTGTGTATAGCGCCTACATGATCTCAGCAAGATCATCAAGCCAACTCGTGGCAAGTTCAGCCGTGACGGAGATTTGCCTGCATTCCGCCCCGCACCAGCTTTAGGATTGAAAGGGCTGATTGTACGGGTTGCAACCGCGAGGCTTGCAGGGTCTAGGGCTTCGGGCAGAGGAGCCTAGGGATTTTGGCTGCGTGGCATTAGCCCTCAAGTGTTCAGGCATTCGGGGGTTATATAGGATTTAGGGATTATGCTTTTGTGCTAAGTGAAAAAGCACTACACCTGGTACCAAGGACAACGAAAGATCCAAAATTACTCCCAGTAGGGAACACTAAACACAAGGATGTGGTGAAGACGATCTTGATTATCACAATCCCTGCGCCTTCAACCTTGAATCCCCTTAGGCACTAAGCCCTTAACCCTAAACCCTAAATCTCAAAGCGAACCACAGGGCTTGATTACGGCTTATATCGGCTTACATGGGGGATTTAGGATCTATAAGGGCTCCAATATATGCCTATAAGGGCTCCTATATATCGTGAATCCCTGATCTTCACTTGCTCAACCTCCTCACCTGGGTTCAAAGTCCTTGCTTCGACATATTAAACGTAACCCCGAACCCTAAACCACAAACCACACAAAGAAATAAATCAGACCTTAAACCCTCTTTCC